CTCGAAAAGCTCCCTCCTTTTTGGCCTGTCTTAACGTGGCTAATAATAAAAAATTTAGTTTTAGATTTACAAATGCTATCCAATCTTAAAGGTGACTAAATTCTTAAAGTAACCTAAATGCTATATTCTTACACAGTACATTAAAACACAAACTGCTACATGAAGAGCCAGCAGGTGGCGTGGTGGTTAAGATACTGGTCACTCTCACATGGCCAACTGCGGTTCAAGTCCTGGGCGTGGTGGCTTGCTTTATCACTTTCTGTCTATCTCTCTCTAGTGAACTAATAATAATAATAAATTTTTTAAAAATACAAACTATATGAGTAATACCACATGTACACCACAGGATTAGAAATAAAAATAGATCTTGACTGCCTAGCACATAAGCTGTTACCATTAAAATAAATATTTCACAACTTTGTATTCCATAACCAGTTTTGCAGCTTAAATCATTTTTATGCAAAGATTAGCAAAGGTAGCAAGAGCTTGTCTATAAGCCAAAAGATAAAGCAAAAGAATTGTTAAAATTATTAACTCACTAACAAATAAGGAAAAATACTAAGGGGTATAAGCCTATAAAAACAAATATGCAACTCCCATCACCTCAATAGAAATTAACTATTGATTTGGTATCTCAGACTAGTACAGTGCTTCCCAAATTGGACCAATCACTCAATTCTGCTGGAATTAAATAATACACCTCCCAGAGGGATTCTGATTCAGTAGGACTAAGGTAAAGCTCAGAATTCTGTTGCTATGTTTTTAAGCTCCTCCAATGACTCTGCTGATAAGCCAGGTTTTAGAATAATCGCACTAGAATGTTACTGCACAAGCATATGAGAGTATGTTACTTTAGAACTCTGTTCTCAGAGCTTTAGTTCTCACACGAGCACATGTACGAGCTTGATTCTTACAACATGTATACGCTGCAAAGAGCGTTCTGATGTCCCTCAAATATATTCTGTTCTCTCCACGTTGAATAGCTTTGCATCCCACTTTTCATCTCCTAATTCTTACTTGTTTCTAAGAGGGCAACTCAGACACTATTTTCAGGGAAGTGTCCCTGACCAGTCAACTCTAACAAGTTGAGGAACCCATTTATATGTTTTGCAGAATTCTGGGCACACATGTTAATGTAAGAGGTGACATTTATAGAGACCTTACTCTGTTCTAAGTACTTTTTATACATTCATTCACTTAATCCTTCTTAAGCTCCATGATGTGGGTATTATCGCCCTTATTTTAGAAATGAGGAATGAACAGGCAGATGTTAAATAGCACGAGCAGTAGTGGGGAAAGCAGGACTTGACTCCGGTAGGCCGGCCCCGCAATCCACGTTCCTGAGCACTGTGCCACATTCCCTTTTCTCCAGAGAACTTCATACTCCGTACCATTGTTCTAGCTTTCTCTTTTTTAATTTTTCTTACCATCTCTCTTTTCCACTGAACTGCATGCTCCAGGAGGGCAAAAATACTGCCTTTTGTCCTTACTACATCTCCAGTGTCCACCAAGTGATGTACATTCAATAAATACCTGACTGACAATATCTCTCTTGATAACTAAAATTAACTTTAAGCAGGTTCTAAAAGTTCAAATAATATGTTAATAAAATTTAATACTAATCAAAAACATTTTAGCATTTTGTGGTAGGCATTCAGTAATATTAAAAAATACACAAGAGCTATAGGATATGTATGAAAACAAGTCAAGCAAAGAAAATCTGCTAGGTAGCTCATTTGCCTATTAATACATTGAACACAGCTTGAGAAGCAAATGTTCTTGTCTCCCTTGAAATAGCTAGTACATGATGAAAATTTCAGAGCTTACGCTAGCTTTTTACCATACCACAACTCCATCCAATATTTTTACAGAGTGCAAGAGAAATTTTAAATCTTTTCAAATTTATTAAATAGCCTCATGCTTGAAAATTATCATAAAGTAATATTTCAGGAACATAGCACATGTCTGATAAATCGACCTCCCAATGAATTTTTAAAACCATAAAAGCTGGCAGAAAAAAAAGCTTCACTATAGCTAATCTCCCAGGAAAAGCTTTTAAAGGTATTTTTTGTTTTGTTTTAAGGAACACATTTCACAGTTTACAGGCTCAACACTTGGTTTTCATCAAATCCCCTTTGATTTATAAAAAGCATTAGATGTGCAACCAACTTAGTGAATAACAGTCTTCTTGAATCTTATCTAGTGGGTCGTCAGAAAAGTCATTAAGTATTTGTGTATGTTTTTCTATGTAACAATGTGTCATGACTTTTCCGATGACCCACCCACCTCCATCTAATCAGGATTCACTCCTTCCATCCTCAGTGTACGTCAGTTCAGGTGTCACCTTCTCCCATTTTCCATTTCCAAATACAGCGGTTAAGCCAGACCTGAGCCAATCAATTTTTTATCAATATATTTCCCTTCCCCCAAGTACAATGATTAGCTGAATCAGGAATCTTCACAAAGATCTATCAGTACCAATGAGAAAAAATTATATTTTCTGGATGTCTGAATAAGCATCTCTCTCTTTAAAGCCAGATCTAATTCTAAACTTTTCAACCAACTCTGTGAGCAAATAAATTATCTTCTTTCTATGGCAGTCAGGTCAGAATTTTTTTCACTTTCAATTAAAAAAGTCTCGGCTGATATGACCACTATTCATACTGTTTTCTAATATAATATACAAAGGTACTGTCATTAAATGGTTTTCTCTTTTTTTCTTAAGATTTATTTTATTTTATTGTCACTTTATTATTTCTTTTAATTTGACCAGGGAGAGACAGAGAGAGAAGATGGGGGGGGAGGGAGTGAGAAAGCAAGCCACCAGGTCCAGGACTCAAACTGTTGTTAGTCATATGGGAGTCTAGCACCTTAACCACCCTGCCACCTGTCGGCCCCCAGGTTTCTCTTCTATGAAAGCAAATAGGCATTCAGATCCAATGACTATTTTTACGTACTAGCCATATACACTGCATAGATAGTTTAAAAAGTAAAATGTTCTGATTATACTGCTAACTCTTCACTATCTTTTTTGGATATTTAGTCTTACAACCTTAATAGTCTATATGCAATATACAGAGGCATTATATATACCATGCTACACAAAAACCAACATAAAAGAAAGAGGTGTGACTCAGCCCACATAAAGAGCTAATCCACACAATTCTGCCTGATGTTTAAATAAATGCAGCTGTATTAGTTCATGACTTTGTCACTATCAGATTTTATATTTGGTTCTGGGCATAAGAAGAACAAAGATTAAAAACAAATAAAGGCAATTTTAGAACTTAAATAACAAGATTAAATAACAAGATACAATAGCAAGGCAAAGGATTTTTTAAAAACCTATCAGTTGTAGGGGCTGGCAGGTGGTGTGGTGGTTAGGGGTGCTAGATTCCCACATGGCGAACTACAGTTTGAGTCCCAAATCTAGAGGCTTGCTTACCTTCTCTCTCTCTCTCTCTCGCTCTCTCTTTTTCTCTCTTTCTCTTTCTCATCGAGTTAAAAAATGAGTAAATAAAGTTAAATAAAATAATTCTTTAAAAAATAAAACAGCTTGTCAGTTGTTCAAGGTGTGTTCCTTACCAATACTTTTCCAAATATGTAAAATTACACTCATTAATTATAGTTTACTGAGAATGTTGCCAAGTCAAGCTCCCTACTGACAGACCTTCACTGTGTCAATAGAAATACAGTCAGTTTATGTGAAGGTAGACCTATTCGATATGACTAATTCCACCCAGGGTTTGAAATGACTGCTTTGAAACTGCAGGATGAGGCCAAAGGCATCTCCCCTGACCAGGAAAATGATGCTAATATCAACCTCAGTCACATCTTTATAAGAACCTTCATTCAACTTAAACTAATACTCTCTAAGTTACAGTTTTTCACTAATGATAAAATTAAACTCAACTATGGTCATCTTATAGACCTGATTTACTATATGAAACTCTTCAGCTTTTATACTAAAGGATAAAAGATGATTAGCTCCGGACCAGCAGTTAGCGTAATGGCTATGTTACTGAACTCCCATGTAGTCGACCACGGTTCGAGTCTCAGACCCCATGGCTTGAACTCATGCTGGGCGCGTGTGCACGTGTGCCCAAGATCTCAAGAGGGGAATGGAGAAGAAGGGATTGTGGCATGGTCATCCACCCTGGGGGAGTGATTTCTCGCTTTGTCTCTGTCTGTCTGGTGAGCACACGCGCCCTATAGAAAAAAACTCTCAAAAAAAATAAAAAGATGATTAGTTCAAGTAATATACAGGTTAAAGGGTTCATTCAAATTAAGTGTATCAATGTTACTTCCACTTACTTGGTTTATATTCAGTCTTATGGTTGCTATGTCATGGAAAAATACCAAAGAAGAAATTATAGTGGAAGATTCAACACTTGACCTCATGTTTCAGGGTACGATCAAATCGCTGCAATATGAAAATACTATACAGGGCCAGCTCCATAATGCAGTAATAATGCACTACTCAAGAGAAGCTGGATCCCATATGATGACCACGGTTGGAATCCCCAGCCCCATCAGCCTGAAACACACCAGACAAGCAAGCAAGTGCCCAGGATCCAATTGGCTGGAGGCCTAGAGAAAGGGGGATCATGGTGTGACCAAATTTTGTGAAGGGTGCTTCCCCCACTCTCTCACTCCCACATGCATGCCCACACACTCTAACATAAATAAAATAATATATATAACGTACAAAATTATTTTCAATCTATATGTATAAAGTGTACATGAAATATAAATACATTTCATGTTTAAACTTGGGTCTCAGCCCCAAGGTATCTTATTATGTATGTAGAAATATTCCAAAATTCAAAAAACTCTGAAATCGGAAATAATACCAATCCCAAGTAAGATATGGGATACTCAATCTGTGTGTGCTTCATTTTCTTTCTATATCTAAGTTCTACAGCGCCACCTACTGGGAAAAGCAAGGCCACCACTTACTATGAGCAAGTAAGGTTTTTGGTGAATACAGAATTATTTACCTGAGGCTGAAGCAAAGCAACCAGGGATATGGGGAGACCAGATTGTGCTATAAATGACACTTTCATGGCCTCGATAGGTGCACAGAGACCTTCCAACAGTTGGATCCCACTACAAATAAATGAACAGATCAATTAAAGAGCTGAATCCAAATTATCACTTCCATACATACTATATATACCATATGCTATACATGTTTATATATATACATATAATATACAAAGAATCTTCAAACAAGTCCGTGGAAATGCATAAAAATTATGCATGGATTTCAAAAAATTTTGTACCTAATAAGCTCAAATTTGAATTCCATTTTCCCACAACTTTTTGATGTCTCCCCATATACCTATATCTCAAGGGTTTCTTTATCACCTATTTTTAGAGAAAGCAATATGGCATTTAAGGGGCCCAAATAATCAGCTAACTATCAGCTTATAGCCAAAATATAATAAACTATTTTAATTCTAATAAATGTTTTTATATATTTTTTGAAAAGAAAATTAACCAATTATAAAGCTACAGATGTAGGTTTTGAAAAAGAAAAATAAAATACAATGAAAGTGCTGAAGAAATAAGCATTTGTTTTTAAATACAATAATGCTGACATACCAATTTGACAGTTTGATCCCATGAGCCAGACACCACCAGCTGTTCACCTCTGGTTTGACTCCAGTCAACACTATAAACCTAAAAACATTTTAAAGTGTTTAGAGAGCAAAAGAGCAAGTTCAATACTGCATTTTATTTCTTTATAACTATCACAGACAAAACAACTAATTTATTTCACTGAAACATCAAATAAAGTCCTACCCATCTCAACACGGTGCCTGAGAAATAAGGAGGATCTTGTCCATTCCCCTAGACTTATTCCTTACAGAAAAGACTCCAATCTGCTTTACAGAACATTTCCAAATCTTCCTCACTAAAACAAATTATACACATTTTAAACTACCAACAAATCACTGTTTGCAGCACCATGAAGAAATGTCAAAGCAGATTAGAAAGTTTGTCATCCAAAAAAGCTTGCCAGGTCAGTGTTTATCAGAAAGTATTAAAATTCAATTAATATCCCTATCTGGCCTTTCTTAGAAAAAGCTTACAGAAACCAGGTGATCCCTTCAGATCTCTAGGTAAACAATTTTACTGATCCAATGCTACTATTCTAATTTATGCCTCAAGGCTTCAGTGAACCATTTCAAATGAACCATTGGGGAAACTTGCAGAAATATTTTTCATTCTGTCATTTTATATAATAGATGATAAACAGATCATCACTGTAAGCTAAGTTCAACAACATATGTGTACAATTACGTCTTAGGAAAGCCCAGACTTTAGTATATGTCATTGGATGTGATTCAGTTAGAAGGTTATTTTGAAATTTAATACTCTCTCACAAATATGTAGGAAGTATGAGTATCTGGAGCTTGTTGCCCCTTAAATATGATAATATTTAATATGATAAATATGGTTTACTTGCTCTCTGCTGCTCAGTTTGCTGAGCATGTTGGAGTTTGAGGGGAGAAAAAAATATCAGTAACATCAGTCCTGTCTTTAATTAAAATTTTGATGTTCTGTCACTTACATGTAGAATCTTAAAAAGTCAAACCTAGGACAGCAGATGGCATAATGGTTACAACACTGGACTCCCACTCCCAGTGGTTCAAGTCCCGGACCCGGAGGCTTGAAACCCAAGTTGGGCGAGTCCCAGTCCTGGCAGCATGAAAATCACACTGGGTGCATATGTATGCACACCCAAAATCCCAAGATGAGAATGGAGTAAAAGAGACTGTGGTGTGGTCATCCCCCTGGGGGGAGTGATTCCTCTCCTTCTCACTGTTTCTCTTTGGAGAGCACCCTATGGCAAAAACCTAAAGAAAATTAAAAAATAAATTTTAAAAATTAAAAAATAGGAATTAAACTGTGCTTTTAAATAAACAGAAAAGAGGGAACTAGCAGTTAGCATAATGGCTATGTCGCTGGACTCCCACGTAGTTGACCACGGTTCGCGTCTCAGACCCGGTGGCTTAAATCTCACACCGGGCACGTGTGCGTGCGTGCCCAAGATTCCGGGAGGAGAATGGAGGAGAAGGGATTGCGGCGTGACCATCCCCCCTGGGGGGTGATTTCTCGCTTTCTGTCTCTATGCCTCTCTCTCTGTCTGTCTGGCGAGCACACGTGCCCTATAGCGAAAACCTCTCCAAAGAAAAAAAAATAGAAAAGAACAACTGCAGTCAAAAGTACAAAAGGGATTCTGGGATAGATGATTGGGCTTAATGCCCAGAAGAAGACTCCAGTTGGACCTTGAGGGCTGGCTAAAATGTCAACAGGCAGAAAGCAGAGGTGAAACAGTGACTAGGAAGTCCCCCAAAGATATAAATGGGGACATATAGCACCCTAGGGGTTGGGGCTGGGGAACACTGCAATACAGCACCAAGGTTTTGTGCCTGAGGAATATCAGTGGTGGTGGCATTAACAGAAGTGGAAGACTGGAGGAAGGAAGATATTGTGTAATTTTACACATACTCGATTTGAGGTGACAGCAAGACAGTCAAGTGGAAATGTTTAGTATGAACAGGGTCTGGGCATTAACCTCAAGTTCCGAAAAAAGTTCAGCCAGAGATATGCTTGGGAGACAGCTGAAAAGCAATGACTGGATTCCAATATTCCAACCTCAAGTTAATTCACTCACCTATTCAATGACTATGTACTAAAAACCAACTATGTAACTGGGGGGAGGGGGTTACAATGTTAGGCAAGACCAGTCTTCACAGATCTTATATTTTAGTAGGGGGAGGACAAGCTATAAATAAATAAATGTACAATTTCAAATTGTAATTAAAGAAAACTACAAAGACAAATAAACCAGAGAATGGAGACCAGAAAATAATGACAAGGACACAGGGTTATGTCTTAATAGAATGGCCAGGAAAAACCTCTCTGAGCAGACTAGAATCGGTAAAAGACCGAGCCATGCAGATCTGAGAAGAAAGGCTCAGGGAGAGAGAGCAGGGGAAGATCCTGCAGCAGCAAACAAGCTTGTCACATTTGAGGCAGCAGGATCAAATAAGAGGGATAAGATCCTAAAAGGCCACAGTTAAGAGTCTGCATATAATTTCCAGAGGGTACAACCATCAACCATAAGCTACCACTTAGATTAGAACATCCTTTTTACAGATCTCCCCATACATCCTTGCCTACTTCCAATTTATTATCCATACTGCATAATAATAAAAACAATCCTTATAAAGTACAAATTAATGTCACTTACCTGTACAAAGCCTTTCAATGGTTTCATACTATGTGGCCCCTGCAGCTTACCATCTTAAGTCAATATTATGTGAGATTCATCCATACCAATTCTTATTACCCAAAGGTGATAATCATTTTTGCATACATATATGGTTGTCAGAAAACTCTGACATACTTTTCTGTTTTTCTACGTAAAAATCTGTCATGACTTTTCCAACAACTCATTATAAAGAAAAGCACAAAAAATACAAGTAGAAAATTCAGAATTCTGTGAAGAAGGGGGAAGGAAAGAAGGAAAAAAAGGAAAGAGGGCCAGCTAGGGGCTGGAAGGTTGCCTGGGTTGGATCCCACAAGGCCGACTACACAGCTAACGTACTGGTTCTGGAGGCTTGATGAGCACACCAGGAGCATGAATGTGCATGCCCAGAATCCCGGGAGGAAGAGATGGAAAACAATGGATTACGGCAGCATGACTATCCCCATAGAGGATGCGCTCTCACTCCCCCACGCCCAACATTCTTGTCCAACATTCTCCAGCCAGCACAGGTGCCCTCTAGCAAATTAAAAACAAACGAAAAAAAGGAAAGAGGAGAAAGGAAGGATGATTACAAAGGAGTAACCAGGAAACTCCAATAGTCTAGATAATATTTCTTAAGCTAGGTGGTGAATATGCAAGTGTTCAATAATATTCTTACACCTTACTTTAATATTTCACAGTAAGTTTTGTTTTTGTTTTTGTTTTCAATGCCTTCAGGCTCCAGGCTCGCCCTCCCCTTCAAGTCTGTCTTTTCTTTGCCTTTAACACTACTCTTCTGGCCTCTCCACCTGTACAGTTCATTGCTACTCTCTTTTTTAGGATGCCCTCACCACCCCTTGTCCAGACTAAATCCTCCCTCTGGTAGCACTCTGTATATTCACAGTACTTAATCACATTATAAATTAGATAACCGGCAACCCAGGTCTCCCTGCTGGAGGACAGGCCATGCCTGACTTGTTCACCTTCCCAGCCTGCCCCAGTCCAGGACTTGGCACACAGTAGCAGTAATACTAGTTTTTAGAATGAAGGAAGGGATGGAGAAACAAATATGAATGGAAAACACATCTCATTTTAGTCTCTTCTTCCATCTCTTCCCTATTCCCAACTTCTTCCTCTACTCCCACTCAAATGGTAGATGTGGCAAATGGTCAAATTGAATATAAAAAAAGGAAGAGATACACAGTGCTCAATTTTATGCTTTAAGAAAATATGGTCCTCTAAAGGCCCATCTTAGGAAATTACTCTTGGCAGTAATGAAGAAAATTAATTGGGGAAATGGAGAAAGAAAAAGGAAGCCACTGAACAATATTTTCTGCTGCTTTATGAAATCTGAACTTCATCAAAACCAGTTGGAGAAGACAAATTTTATTACTGAAACCAATTCCCAAAGAGCTCATTTTTAATCTACTGTAAAGTATTGCCCTTTTTAAGTTGGTCTATTTAATTAAAAATCATCAAATAAAAACTATGCCCAGAATTTTCATACTTATCTGTATCAATACAAAGGAAAGGGACACTGACTTTTAAGTACTGGGTGATTAGAAAGGGCTACATACTTCTTTTAATGTGAAACTTAAATTAAAAAATTCTTCATTACAGAAATTATGAAACAGGAATAAAAGTATAGTATAATAAGTCACCAGGTTCCATTACACATCTTCAATAATTACCAATATTTCGCCCAACTTGTTTCATCTGTCCCATTACTGACTTAGGAAGAGACCACTGAAGCATTTTAACTTGAGACCATTTCGTTCAGAAACATTTCAGTGAATAAGGATGGTTTGCCTTTTTTATATAAGCACATGACTATTTTTACCTCCAACAAGATTAATAGTAGCTCCTCAATATCATCTAAAAGTCCATATTCTCATTTTCTGGACTCTCACAAAAATATCTTTTTAGAGTTGGCTTATTTGAATTGGTCCTCTAGAATGTCCTACATTCTAGGGCCAGCCGGTGGTGTGGTAGTTAAGGCAGCTGAATCCCACATAGCCAAAGGCAAGGTCCAAGTCCCAGATCCAGCTTGAAAAACACACCAGGTGAATGTGCATGTGTGCCCAAAATCCTGAAAAGATAAATGAAGGAGGGATTGCAGACTGACCCCCCCAATCAGGAAGTACTTTTTCACCTTCCCAAACCAGTCTCTATCTCTGGTGAGCATACAAGCCTACAGAAATTTTTTAAAAAGTTTTTTAAATATCCTACATTCTAGGTTTGGTTCATTGTTTCTTTATGATGGCATTTAACTCTTTGTTTTATCCTTCCTATTTCCTTAAATTAGAAGTCAGATCAGAAGGATTAATCAAATTCAATTAAATTTTGATTAGATTCCCATGATATTAGAAGGCATATGATTTCTGGTTGATCCACTTCTAATGATCCCACGATTGTTCAGAGA